TAAAGGCCTGTCTTAGGATATGCCCTGCATCCGTCCATGCGTTGTCCCCGTTGAAGCAATCTCGAAACAAATAAATAAATAAGTAACTCCATGTCTTCACCTTGTCTCTATGTGATGCTCGAACTCGCCCGAGCCAGAGTTGCACTGCAGCCGGGCGGCTATGTATGCAAGTGACGTTTGAACTCCTCTGGTCCCGCATCACACTAATGCAACTCGACAGTATCTGCATCACATCATGATGCTGAGCCCCATGCAATTATTCCTTGGGATACATTCATATTCATAATCCAATTAGTTTTGACTCCAAGATAAGGGCTTTTTTTTTTTTTCTCTCTCCCTGATACAAATATGATTTATCCTGTTTGGGGGATTATATCCGACTCTAAATGTTTTGGCCTACAAGGACTGAGCCGAGCTAAAACAGAGACAGAATTGTTTATCTGTTCATTTCCTTTAGTGGAAACAAGATACTCGAGCGTGACTAAGCTGCGTTTGTACTATTACACCCCCCACCTGCTGGAGATAAGAGTATGCATGCTGTACATATGATGCATGCATGGAGGAGGTGTTCTTGCTGCGCTCCCTGGAAGCAAATATCACGCACACAAAAACAAATCAGTAGGAATCTTCTCCAACACCCTCCTCCGCATTAACTCCCCCGCCGTCACCCACATGCGCCCACACACATCCAATTAATTAGTGTAAATGAGTGATGTGCCCTTGCCTCGGCCACATGACCGTCAGCCCTCAGCCTCTGTTTACTTTTTTGCACACCGGGGACCCGCATTGACAATCGGTTTCCACTTAGTTTAGCTCGAAACTCGCTGCTCGCACGCTTTGATCTGCCCCACAGCAGGACGCCGCACCAATTTCAAAGTCGGCACGCAAAAATATTCATCAAGCACAACAACTACGTGACAACTACAAGTGAGGGAAGAGCAACTCATTTGCCTGATGGATATTCAAGGATGGGCAAATGGCATAAATGTATACACAAGTCAACTCTGCTTTTCTCAGTGCTGCAAGAAGCACTTTACTTTGGTATCGATATAAAAGTCCTGCATTCAGACCTTCACTTGAATAATACACTCAAATGTATTAGAAGCAAAATATACGTAAAATACCAAAGTCAGACTCTTAATTATGCAGAATAACACTATATTATGCAGCTGGGTTATAATTATTGATGCATTCATTTGTATATGTCACTTTAATGTTGCAGCTGGTAAAGAATACATCAGAATATCATTTGCATTAAATATCTGAATTTGCAAGATTGCTTTTTCGGGGGGGTGACCGGTCACGACTGGAAGCAAAAGCAATATATCTGTGTTCCCTTGTTTAAGAGAAATTCGGGAAAATTGGGGTAATTAAAAAAAACAAACAAACTAAAAAACACTATTATGCTCAAGTAAGGAAAAGTGGTTATAAACAATATATCTTCTGTGATAAACTTTGGACAGATCTTTGACAGCTCCTTTATATCTGATAGATCAGCTCAGTTGTCAAAACTGGCTTGGTTAAGATTTTGAGCCAAAGTGAAGTCCGATCTCTCTCCCAAAGACTCATTCCATCATGGCCGCTCTGTTTTACACATCCCTGTGTGTGGACCAGTCAACTCGTCTGCAGCTGCTCGTCTTCTAAGAGGACCAAAAAAATCACACATACCCCCATTAATGAATCTATTGCCGTTCTGTCTATTGCAGGATTGATTTAAGGAGTTTATTGTGTGTCTTTGAGGTTGTAGATGGATTGCTGCCACTTTATTTAGCAGAATTCTTTCATCATCACATCTCAGTTGGTCACTGAGGTCGACCAACCAGATGCTCCTGGATGTTCTGAGATCCAGGAACAAAAACAGAAGATATGGAGCCTTTAGTGGCTGCTGCTGATCTGTGGAACAATTTATGTAAAAATTACTCAAACTTCCAAAACTTTGAGGCTGAACACCTACAACTTATCGTTGATATTCAATTCAGGCAACTTTTAAGCTTTATTATTTTAAAGTCTTATTCTTATTATTTCTTTAACAAAGATAATTTTTATTTTTGTTTATTTTTTTAAAATTTAATTGTCCTTTATTTCTAATTTTTTATTGCCTTATAATCTTATTTAATTGTCTTTTATTCTTACTATTTTACTGTGTTATATTCTTGATATTTTACTGTCTTGCATTATTTAATTCACTTTTATTTTTTATTATTTTATTGTGTTAGATTCTCATTATTTTACTGTCTTGTAATTTTATTATATTTGTCTTTGATCATTACTATTTTAGTACCTTATCTGTAGATTTATCTCCTTATCATTGCTTTATTGTATTTTTTGGTCTGCAGTTTTAGTTGTGCAACACTTTCATATAACTCTTGTTTTTAAATGTCCTTTACAAAATGAATTTAACAGACTGTTCTGAATTCTAACCATTCTGCTGCTTGTGATTTTCCTTCGGTGCTGGCTGAAACCTCGGCCAGAAATTCTTCAACGCAGCAGAAAACCTGTGTAGTGGAGCAAAAAGCACAACATTTCCCTCTAAAACACAGCTACAGTGGAAGCAAAAAGTGGAATAAAATGGAAATACTCGAGTAGAAGCACCTAAAAACTGTACTCGAGTAGAGTATTTGAGAAATGCTTGCGCGAGACTGACTGTCCTTGCGGTTTTAGCCCTTGAGAGCATGTCACATGAAACAAAGCAAATACTGCGTGTGTGCTCTGTGTAACGCTGTGGAATTACACTCTGTTCTCAATAGACAAAGTGATCTGACAGAAAGAGACAGTTGCAAACAAGTTTAGACAGACAGAAAGAGAGATAAAAAAAAAAAAAACACAAGAGACAAAGGAGACAGACGAACCAACAGGTAGGTAGGCAGGTTTACAAGCAAAGAGAGAGAAAAAAAAGCAGACGGGGAGGAATCAGAAGCAGACCATTATGGGAAATGCTTTAGAGCCATATGTAGGTGGTCCTAATGATGTTTTGCTTATTGCATGCAGCCCTGTTGCTTTTTGCTGGAATCTCCTGACGCGCATCCATCAGGTCTCTTATTGCACTTGTGTGTCTGTGTTGTTATCTCGGCTGCAAAACTGATGTCAGAGAGGATATTTAACTTGCCGCTTTCTGTCATGCTCTCAATTCCAACTGAGCACTGCAGATGGAGGGAGGAGGGAGGGAGGGAGGAGGAAAGGGGTGAGGGAGGGAGAGTTGAGGTAGTTACTCCCCCCCCCCCTACAGCTGATGTAATAATCCCAAACAATGGAGTACAATACAAATCGATAGGAGATGAGAATATGCTCAAACCACTTCCACCCTCTCTTTTTTTTTCTCACAGTTGTAGATCTATTTTTTGCCCAAAAAAAAAAAAAATTAAAAAAAGAAAAAAAAAAAAAGGGATTTTATCTTGGATAAACGTCACGCACACATGCGCATATAGGGTGCCACACTGACGCATCGTTTGTTGTATAGTCAACT